CTGGTGATTAACCCGAATCGAGTCCGAGTCGAACCTGGATTGAGCCCGGGCCCACGTCCCACTAAAAAAATGTGCATCGATTTTCTTGTCAATTGTGCGCGCATGTAACCCTAGCAATATGGATGTCCATCCCAGCTAAAACAATGTTGCGAACGTGCTGCCGTGGTCCGTTTCGTCATCGGGGGTCGTCCGGACAAGCTCACCGACGGTCGAGCCAAAAAAAGTGTCAACTTTATGCGTGGTGCAGTGAGTACGTGAATTGTGGCTTTCGCGAGTGTTCGAGTTACAAATGGTTTACCTAAAATCATCTGATCCTGTAGGAACTTATTTTCAGGCCCTCTACATGTTAGTTCTTAGCACTTGCAACTAGAAGTTGAATGCTTGGAACCACTCATGCGAGTTTTTCATAAAAATGAGTCAAAAAGTGGTTTGAAGTTCTACGGGATGTGGGCTCCATCAGTAATCTGCTAAGATGGTCAACAAGGAACTTCTAAGGCTAGATTTTGAATTTTGGGAGTAGGAAACTAAGACCTCACTAAAAATGAGGTCAACAGTGACAAAAATAGAGAGGAAGATTTTGTTATGGATCTGATTCAGGAGAATTCACTTATTGAAGCACAAAATGCTCTTGATGAAGGCATCGAAAATGAAGTTCATTTTTTCAAATAGAAAGCTAGTTTTCTTGGCTTTGTGGAAGGTGATAGGAACTCAAAATTTTTCCATGCTTGTATTGGACAAAAGAGACAATCAAATACTATTTTAAACGTCAGACATGAAAATGGTGTGGGGCTACATTCTTCTCAACAAATTGCTGACAGTGCCATTAATTATTTTCAGAACCTTTTTCAACAGTTTGAAGTGGATTTACCTATGGATCCTGATTTTTCTGGTAATAGAAAGCTGTGCCTATTCCTTTGGAGACTGAAATTTGGACTGCTCTTAATTCTATCAGTCCTAATAAGGTGGCAGGCTCTGATGGCTTCTTATCTTCCTTTCATATTCATGCTTGGGAGTTTATCAAACAACATATAGCAACAACAATTCAAAGTTTCTTCAGGGGGATAGCGCTGCATAAGTATTTCAGTAGCTCTTCTATTTTGCTCATCCCCAAAAATAACTGCAAACTAAATTTGTAAAGTTTCAGACCAATCAGCCTTACATCTGTCATTTCAAAGATCTACTCAATGAATTGATTAGTCCTCAACAATCTGCATTCATCTTTGGTAGAAACATTATTGAAAATATTCTTATTGCTCAAGTGATTTTGTGAGGTTGCAATGGAGTTTTAAAGCTTGATATAAAGAAGGCCCATGATAACATTGGTTGAGAATTTATTTTGAACATGCGGAGTGCCAGAGGATTTCATGATGATTTCTGTAAGTTGGTGAAGATGATATTGGAGAATAATTATAATTCCATTCTTATCAATTCTGAATCACATGGTCATTTCAAAGCAGGGAGAGGTTTAAAGCAAGGTGACCCTCCATCACCTTCAATTTTTATACTTGGTCTATACATTACTTATTTAGGCAGCTAAATTATCATTTGAGATGTCTCCAAGACAGTAAATATAGTTCTAAGCAGTGAGCTGGCCTCACATTTAGCATATGCAGATGATTTTATTATTTTATGTAATATGGGGAAAGAACATATCAGGAGAATTCCCAGAATTTTGATGCATTTTCAGACTGTTTCTGGTATGAAGTTTAACACAGCAAAGTGTACGTTTTATCTCAGCAAACAGATAATTGTGGACAAACAACTTTAGCGACAAACAACTTTGGCTCACCTATTTGACTGGTTTTAAAATAAGCAAGCTATCTATGAAGTCTCTTGGTATTCAACTCAGAACTGCTAGGAAGAGAAGCCCTATATTTGATGACGTCCTCCATAAAATAAACAACAAAATTTTGAGTTGGGAGATTCTTTTCTCACAACAGGTGGTAGATTCACGCTTATTCAAAGTGTGCTCAATTCTCTACCTTTGTATGCTCTTCAGGCATCCAAGATGACAAGTAAGTATGCAACTCAAAATTGAGCGGGCTTTTAACAGGTTTCTATGGGTTGGGCATGGGAGAGTAATTCTTTTGTCATTTTGGAAGAATCTGTGCAAGTCTAAAAAAAGGTTTTGGTTTGACTTTTCAATCCTTTAATTCTTCCAGGGAGGTGAACCTTTGCTAATTATGGATTAAACTAAGGACTATGGATAATTTATGGGATGCTTTTATGAGGAGTTATTTTTAAAATCGGCATCTAACTCTATGTACATATAAATTGGGGGATTCTTTATTACGGAAAGAATTGCTAAAAATCAGGGAGAAAACTGAAACTTTGTTTTTTTGAGATCTGGGGGAATGCCTCATTAACTTTTGGCTTGAAGACTGGACAGGCTTCAGGCCATTGCAAGACAGTTCTACAATCGGTCATTATGATAGCATGAAGGTTTCTGAATTCTGGACAGCTAACGATTGGGATAATCAAAAGTTACTTATCTATTTTGAGCCCGACCTGGTGAAATGCATATCAAACATTAATATTGTTCAAAACAGAAAAAACAGTATGAGAGTTAAAATGGAGAAACATTGTTCTTTGACTAAAGCTATTACTAAAGCTTTATATCAGACTGATGATCGGAATGGAGGACAATATTTCTGGAGTGCTCTTCTCAAACTTTCAGAATCAATTTTTGCTTGAAGGTTACATTGGAAGATGATGCCAACAGATGTTATCATCAAGCTAAAAGGCCTTAAAGTTCCCTCAGTTTGTCTACTGTGCAAACAGGCTGAGAAGTTTTACTCACATTTTCTCATACAGGTATGCTTGTTCTATTTGGAGGAACATTGCTATAATTTTTAACATCCATTTCCCAATTTGTGGATACAACTCATTGGAACAATGTATTGCTTGCTGGACGAAGGAGGGGAACAACACCTGCAAAATTTGATCCCATATGTGTGTTGCTGGTTCGTCTGGCTGGAGATAATTCATAGAAAACACATGGAGGTTTGTTATGAACATAATAGAATCATCATCCACAACAAAGCTTTCTTAAATAAAGCCATTCAATACTATTCTAAGTTCACTTCTGAATTGGGGTTTCTTAATTCTGCAGCAACTGCTGTTGCTGACAAAACAAAAATTATATCAAAGCTGATCAAGTGGAACAACCCTATGCTTTTTTTATTAATGCAAATGTTAATGGTAGATATAGAAATAATGCTTCTGGTGTGGGTGGGATCTATAGAGATGGTTTGGGCAGAGTTTATTGACCTTTTCTGTTCCTATATGGCATGTTTCTGCATAATTTCTGAATTGAGGACCATCCTCTACTCTTTGCTAATTGCCACCAATTTGAAAATCATGGACCTTATTGTGGAAGAGAATTCTCTTTCAATTTATCAAGCTTGTGTGGATGATTGCTGTTGCTCCTGGGATTATTTTCTGATTTGGAGAAAAATTAAATCCTTGTTGCCTGCCTTTAATATTGAGTGTCTTTCACATGCAGAGAAGCTAATAGACCAACAGACTTGCTGGGCAAGTGGGGTTCTTCTAGTTTTATTTCTTTTTCTTCTACAATTTGTAATGATCTTAGGATTTTATTGCATGGTGATAGGATATATATCCCTTATATTAAAGCTTCCTTCTATGATCTATTTTTGTAAATTTTCACTGATCTAATATAGATCCTTTTTTTGGTCTGCATGCATGCATAAATACATACATACATACATACATACATACATACATACATATATACATTCATAAATTTCTATAATTATGTTTCAATTTTCGTTTCTGTTTTTCTTGTTGTCAGCGTTGTTTCCTTTAAAAAGTCTGTATCCAAGGATAAATGGTGCTCCGTCAATATCCTGCTTCAAGGTGGTGATTATCTACACCTATTTTCTTTCATGTTTCCACAAGCCTGCTTGCTACCACCTCCCAGCGCCCTCGCCTTTACTGCCGTCGCCTCTCTTTTTACCTTCCAGGTTGCTGCTGCCCTCCCTGCGCAGCTCCCCTACTATCTAGCCGCACCCAACTGCCTTATGCTTGCTGTCCATTTGCCAAACAGACCTCTCATTGTCGTTAACCCTCTCTACCGCCTACCGCTCTCCATTTCCACTACCTTGATACACAACCCATCTCCTCCAATCCTTGCCTAGGGAATCTTTTGCATTTGTGTTGCTTTTTTCGTTTTTCAAGTGTCTTTGTTTGTAATCTCTTTTGAATTTCAGCAATAATATTATCTTTTTCGTTGTATTTTTGGGTTAACTTCGGTATCATTTTGTATCAGAGCTAGTCTAACCATAGTTTTATTCTAGGGTTTCTAGCATTCCTACACACCTCCACAGTCACGACTTGGCTTGGGGCTTAAATTATATAAGGTGGGAACAAACGGTCGAATGGTGAAATCAAGTTTTCTATTATTCTATTTTTATGACTAATAGTTTATTATACACATTAACTGAAAATGCCACTAAAGGAATCAATTAAAGGTTATATTTTTAGGTTGTTACCCACGCCTTCTTTCATCCTCTGCTGACCACTTATGAAAATCCCTCTGAGTTAAATCCCTTCTTTAGCTAGCATCTGATATGGATCTTTGAATTGAATTAAGACAGTTTCTCATCTGATGTTCAAACCATCTACATAAGTAACACTCCTTCAAACCAAATAAACATTCACTATGATGTTGCTTCCTATATTTAACATGGAGCTTCATATTGTTGCCGCCAGCTTGACTAATAACTCTATCAACATAAAACTTTATTTTCTTTCTATTAGACTCTTGAGAATGAGCAGTCGGTGTTATTTCTTCCAAACTCATCTTTTTGATTTTTCATATTTCTTAAATTTACATAAAAAGATTATAATTAGACACAATTTAACCATTTATTATTATTATTTATGAATTTTTTAAATCAACTTAATGACTCTATTTTTATTATGATTTATAAGAATTCCGGCCGCAGTTCCTGACTTGGTTAATTTTGAGTTTTCAGGTTGGGTCGTGACATTCACCGTTTCTCTCCCACAGAACCTTAACCATGCCATCAAGTAGAAACATATCATAACCTACGTGGGAAGAGATATCGTAAAAGATAAGTCGACTTCAACAGAGGCTTGCGGAGATTGATGACGGAGCCTAGGGGAAATTATGCTCAATTGTGATATGGGGAGTTGAAGAGGAGAAAGGGATAATAATTTTAATCCCTTTCATTGGGAGGACTTCATTGATAAAGAGGACATACTACCACACTTTATAATTCATTTTCAGAGGAGGCCAAGATAGTAGATGATGTATGGAGGACAGAGATTTCAGAATAAAGATGGATCTACTATAGTTCGATGGACGTATGGATCCAGATGATTTTATCGCATGGTTGCAACTAGTTGAGAGAGTCATCGAGTACAAAGAAGTGCCAGAAGATAAGAGGTCAAAGCTTGCCACAATCAAATTAAGAAAGAGCACATCCTTATAGTGGGAAAACTTATAGAGGCAAAGAAAGGATGATAAAGTGATAAGATTAACAGATGGGAGAAGATAAGGAAGCAGATACAGAGAAAGTACTTATTGCCTTATTACCCTCAAAACATGTTTTTGAGGCTCCACCACCTACAGCGGAGAGACCTGTCAATGGATGAGTTCATAACACAGTTTAACCAGCTATAGATATAGTGTGAGTTGGTTGAGCCTGAGGAATATTTCATAGCCCGATATCTGGAGTGCCTAAAGCTAGCTATCAACAACATTGTTAAATAGAAGTACTATTGATGTAGCATATCATCAAAATGAAGCCGAAGGTCCTCTTATAAGAGTCCAAATAGAAGTTCAAGAAAGTGCCCAATTAAGAGCTAATTCAAGACCCATCACAAGTGCCATGTCAAAGAAATATTTGAATTTATATTTTATTGTTTATAATTCAATTTCAGTTTCTAGAGTGTTTGAATTTTTAAATTTAGAGGATTTTATGGCTGGTTATACAAAAATAATAAATTAGGAAGATTATTAGCACTTATCTTCATTAATGACTGCCTACCATCATTCAAAAGTTCCTTCTTTTATTTAATTTCTATCATTATAATCCTTATAAATAGGGCTTAATGTAATTCTTTGAATTTGTTGTTGAATGTAATATTTGAGTGAGAATATTCTCTTATTGTTTGGTGCTTAGTGGCTTCACGTGTTGCCTTTTATTTGGTGAGATTAGGTATTTATCTTTATTTTTTGCTTGGTGAGGTTAGGTATTCTCAAAAACTCTTACACTCAAACTCTTCACCACTCTTCATCCACATCCTAAGCTTCTTATAATATCAACAAATCAACAACCAAAGCCTCATAACTATTCCAAATCTATCTTCATAGCACTTGACCAAGCAAGAGCATATTAAGACCTAGTCTTGTTTCCTAACCCTAAACACCATTGTAAACTCATCGAAACACACCCATCAACTCCAGATCATAAGTACACATCCTAAGCTAACCATTAATAATCATTTCTAACAATTTACCTATTATTAAGCCACCTTTTTAAAGAGATATTTTAAATTAGCCCAAACTAGCCTAATCTGGACTAATCTTGGTATTTTATCCATCATTCATCCAAACCCAACCATCTACTGTAGATCATGGGAACACATCCTAAGCTAGCTGTCAATAATTTTTTCTTATAATTTACCTATTTTTAAGCCACTTTTTTAAAGAGATATTTTAAATCAACCCAAACTAGCCTAATTTAGACTAGTCTTAGTATTTTAGCCATCATTCCCTCCTAAATCTTTTAACATTTCACCAAGACCTTCACATCACATTTTTAGGCCTAAAACCAAACATCAATAGCAAATTTTAGCACTTTATCTCATCAAAAGACCATCAATGAACTTTATGAATGGTTTGGTGATGTCTCTTGGACTTTCAAATGCTCCGAGTACGTTTTTAAAGTTAATGAACATTATCCTGAAACCTTTATAGGAAGAGTCTTGGTTGTCTATTTTAACAATATCTTGATTTTTAGCCCAATTGAGATAGACCATTTTGAACGTCTTAGGGAAGTATTTGAAACCCTCAGAAAAAATATAATTGTACATCAACTTGAATAAATACTTCTTTTTACAAACTGAGGTAATTTTCTTAGGATTTATTGTTTCCAGTGCTGGAATCAAGACTGACCCTTCCAAAGTTTAGGCAATATTATGCTGACCCTCACCTAAGAATTTCACTATGTGTACAATTATCATGGCCTAACTGCTTTTAATATGAGATTCATCAAAGTATTTAGTACAACTGTCTCAATAACTGATGATTCAAAACTAGAGAAATTTCGTTGGACTTCTGCAACATAAAAAGCGTCAGCTAAGGTTAAGGTTTTAATAACCTCAACCCCTATATTTGGCTGCCTAATTTTTCTAAAGCTTTGTGAGGTACCTTGTGATGCTTCTGCATTGGAATTGGTGGAATCTCAAGTCAATAAAATCACCCAATTGCTTTCCTTAATATGAAATTGAATGAGCCTAAATAATGATATTCGACATATGATAGAAAAATTTATGTTGTCATTCAATTTTTGAGACACTGACGTCATTACCTTTTACATAAGGAATTTATTCTTAACTCAGATTATCATGCCCCCAAATTAATACTCAACGAAAGTTAAGTCATAGACATGTTAAATGGGTTGAATTCCTTCAAGATTATTCTTTTCTTCTCAAGCATGAACCTAGAATTGAAAATAAATTTGTTGATGCCTTATCTAGGGTGACTTTAACTATAAACTCTTTAGAACTAAAAATTCTAAGATTTGATCGAATTAAAGATGAGCACCTTATGTGTCATGACTTTAATCTAATTTATATGGAAAGCATAGATAAATCTTTGTCTTTTCAAAGAATATTCTCTGTTATCAATGGATATCTGTATAAGGGAAAATAACTTTGTATTCCTAGAACTTAGAGAATTTTTATGTTCCGAGCTGTATTCTGGAGGAATAGCCAGACACTTTGGAAAGGATAAGGCCATTTATTTAATAGAAAGTTATTTTTATTAGCCTTCAATTAAGAGAGATCTTTAAAAATTAGTAGCCCCATGTTTGACCTGTAAACAAATAAAAGTCATTAAACAAAAATTTGGTTAATATATTGTATTGTCTGTACCCTATAGGCCTTGAGAAGATCTCTTCATTGATATTACCTTATGATTATCCCGCACAAATCGAGGACGTGATAGAGTATTTGTCGTAGTTGATTGCTCTAAAAAATGACCCATTTCTTGCCATGCTCTAAAACCAATGATGCTTTCTTTAAGGAAATTGGACGTCTGCATGGCTTGCCTTCAACCATTATGTCCGACTATGATGTTCGATTTGTTTCATATTTTTAGAAAACTCCTCGGAAGTTATTAAACACAAACTTGAAATTTTATGTGTCTTTCATCCTCAAACAGATGACCAAACTGAGGTAGTTAATCGAACATTAAAAAATCTTTTAAGATGCCTTGTAGGAAAGAGTTTAAGAAATTAGGACTTGCATCTACTTATATCTAAATTTACATATAATAGTATTATTTTTAGGACAACCAAAACTTTACCTTTTGAAATTATTTGTCGCCAAAATCCTAAACAACCCATTGGTATAGCTGACCTCCCACCTCATGCATTCACTGATTATGAATTTTCATTTGCCAAAGATTTTCAAGCCATCCATAAACCATAAGAAAACAAATTACTTTAAGTAATGACCACTATGCTTCTAAGGCAAATCATAATAGGTCAACCTAAGAATTTAAATGAGTCTATGTTTTGATTCACATTCGTCCTCAGTGGATCACACCACGAAGTTTAAGAAATTACATGCAAGGGCTTGTGACCCCTTTGAATTTCTTAGGAAAAATTGATTTAATGCTTATCATCTTGATTTACCCGCTGATATGCTAATCCATCCTGTTATTAATATTGAAGATATTATATCATGTGAATAAGTTAATCAATTGTTCAGACTAACTCTTTTCCAGGAGATATAGTTCCCCATTTGCAAAATCCATCTTTTCTTGAAGTTGACTGAATCATCACGGATGAAGCACCCCCCTTGAACCAGCTGCTGAGCATCGTTTTCTAGTTCATTGGAAGAGTAAGACACCCATTGAAGACACATGGCTGACCGACACTGATTTGGAAACTTTAGCCCCATAATTAGTACAAGACCTCTTAGATTTCAAATTTGCGGAGAAGAGTTCAATTGAGCTTGAGGGAGTTGATATAGCACTTCCTCAAATTGAAGTTTAAAGGTCCACTTATAAGAGCCCAGAAAAGTGCCCAATTAAGAGCCCATTCAAGACCCATCACAAGAGCCATATCAAGAAGAAATATTTGATTTTTTAGTTTATTATTTATATTTCAATATCAGTTTCTAGAATGTTTGTATTTTGAAATTTGGCGGCCTTTATGGTTGTTCATAAAAAAAACAAAATTTCGAAGGTGGTTAGCAACTTCCTTCATTAATGACCACCCACCACCCTCCACCCTTTAAAAGTTCCTCTTTTTATTGAATTTTTATCATTATAATATCTATAAATAAGGCAAATATGTAATGCTTTGGATCAGTTGTTAAATAAAATATTTGAGTGATAAATTTCTCTTATTGCTTGATGCTTGGTAGCTTCAAGTGTTGTCTTTTCTGTGGTGAGATTACGTATTTATTTTTGCTTTTCTTCTATGTTATTCATCATCCTCCAAAACACTTGCTCTTAAACTCTTCACCACTCTTCATTCACATCCTACGCTTCTTATAATATAAATAAATCAATAACCAAAACCTCATAATCATTCCAAACCTCTCTTCAAATCTCATGGCCAAGCCAGAGCATATTAAAATCTGGTCTTGTTCCCTAACCCTGAACACCATTGTAAACTCATTGAAACCCACCCATCTACTGTAGATCATAAGTATACATCCTAAACTGACAACCAGTAATCATTTTTGACCATTTACTTATTATTAAGTTATTTTTCGAAAGAGATATTTCAAATCAGCCCAAACTAGTTTTATCCAGACTAATCTTGGTATTTTAGCTACCATTACCTCTTAAATATTTTAACAGTCCACCAAAACTTTCACATCACATCTTTAGACCTAAAACCAAACATCAATGACAAATTTTAGTACTTTATCTCATCAAAAGACTACCTACCTCTATTAACTATTGCTCATTAGGTTTTGGGATATATTCAACATACGACAAAAAATTCTATGTGATCGTGAAAGCCCTTAATCACCGGAGTCACACTGTCTGTTGACGAGAGGCTTTGAAGTTCTTGAACAGTTAGAATAAACTGAAGGGCCAACATGCGTCCTTGGTGGAGTTCTTGGCATTATTCTAGTTTGTGCTTAAGCACAAGGCGGAAAGCTCGAATTGGATAGCTGACACACTGAAGCACTATCATTTGCTGATCACTTCCATGCAGACTCAACTCGTAGGATATGAGATAGTGAAGGAATTGTACTGGATAGATGAAGATTTCAGAGTGATATGGGAGTAGTGTCGTGAGAGATCTACCAGGGAGTATCAGAAGGTCGATGGTTATCTATTTCACCAGAATAGGTTGTGTATCCCTCGATGCTTACTGAGAGAATCCATTATTCAAGAGAGTCACAGTGAAGGGCTTGTAGGACACTTAGGAAAGGTTAAGACTCTCTCACTCATGAGAGAATTTTTTTTTTGTGGCCATGACTAACGAGAGATGTGGAGCGACATGCCAAGCATTGCAGAATTTGTCATATGGTCACAACTAGAGGGCGGATGTAGGACTTTAAATGTGTTACTTCAGAAAGATCGTGAGACTACATGGGATACCCAGGACCATCACTTTCGATCGAGGTGTG